GAACGTAGCGGCCGTGAGTAATCTGCCTGTGTCCACCGCCTCCTCTCTCCGCCTCCGCGCTCTGCCTCCTCCTCCTGCCCCTCCTCCTCCTCCTCCTCCTCCTCCTCCACTTCATTCCTTTTCATGTTGGATTCGGAGTGGGCCCACTGTTTTGGAATCTTTGTATCTCGTCTATCAGCGTCTGTTTCGAGGTCTGGCCCCTGATCGTTTTAATGACGCCATTGCGGTCTTCCTGGCTAAAGGGTCTCTTCCCGAAGATACGCTGGGTTTGCTGTTTCGCACCGAGGATGCTACGCGGCCCATCTGCTTATCTAACTCTGACAACAAGCTGATATCGATCGCCCTTAACAGGACCCTCAAGTATATCTGTCAGGTCTGCGTCGTCGACTGGCAAAGGGGGTTTGTGCCGAAGCGTTCGGGGGCCTGTAACATTATCGAGTTGGAGGGGCAGGTCTTGTCATGGTTTGCTCAGTTGGGCCACTCGAGGGCAGGCTTCGTCTTCTACGACATACGCGCGGCGTTCCCGTCCCTCCTCCACGACCTCATCCATTGGGTGCTCGACCTCATGGGTTTCCCCCGTCATTTTCGTCTCGCGGTGAGGGCCTTGTATAGAGATATTTGGATCCAGGTTTCATTCGGCGGCGCTTACGGAGCTGTTTTTTGGGCCCTCCGAGGCATCAGACAAGGTTGCCCCCTCAGTGGCAGTATTTTCGCCCTGGCTTTCGACCCCATCTTGCGCATGCTTGGGTCCCGCCTTCCCCGAGGCTTGGCCGTCCCTGGAGCTTTCGCGGATGATGTGGGCATCGGGGGGGCCGACGTGCATGATATCCTAGTATGTAGCGCCCCCGCCTTCGTGATTGCTGCGAAAGCGGCGGGGCTGTTTTTAAAAGTGCAAGGTGTCCAAGTCGTCATGTTTTCCTGCCCGACTAGCGCCGAGTTCAATGCACAATTGCATCTTCGGGGCCTTTCGCTTGGGTCTTGCATCCTTGCTGCCTGCGGCCAGTATCTCGGCGTGTCCTTGGGCATAGGCGGCGACCAGACCAGCTGGATCGCGCCCGGCGCCAAGTGCCTCCATCGCGTCAGGAACATTCGCACGCTTGGCCTCGGTCTCACTCGCAGCGTCGCTCGTTACAATGTGTTTGCTTTCTCCACCCTGATGTATGTTGGCCAGTTCTATCGCCCCAGTGGCCACATGTTGCGGGTTGAAGCATCTGCCCATCAGGTCTTGTGCGCAGCCCCGCGCAATGCCTTCTCGTCTGGCCTCCTCTTTTCCCTCTCGCAGGTTGGTTTTCCCGTCGAGGCCCGGAGGCTTTGGAGGGAGGCCCGGGCTGCCCAATTCAGATGTGCGGCCGCCTCGCCCGCATTCCATCGGATCAGGGCTCTCATTGCGTCGGTGGCTGATGACCCTGAGTGCCTTGTAACATTCCGGGTGAACCCCTGGTTCCAGAGCTCCATTTACTCACACATGGAATCCACGTATACTAGCCTGTCTGCTCTTTGTGGCGCTCCGACTCTCCCAACTGTCGGGCTTCAGAAAGCCACGACAAAGCACCTTAAGCAACATGAGGGTCTGGAGGCAGCCGCCACCATCGGCAGGCGCATTCGGAAGTATATGCCCTGTACCGACAGCATGCTGAATTGCCTTGTGTCGTCACTCGCTCTGATTGCCAAGCAGGTGCCTCCGTGGGTCATGGCCTCCACCCTTCGCACCCTTGTCAATGGATGGTGCTGTTCTGGTCGGTTTTCGGAGCCTCTGAAGCCATGCCTCTTCTGCGGTGCGCCCCGGCAGGATAGGCTCGCACACTATGTCATGTGCCCCGCGATTTGCCGATTCGTCTTCCCCCTTCTTCCTCGGCTTCCTCCCTCGTTTGTCTCTTGCCTCGGCCTCGCCCGTCGCTGCTTCGCCCCGTTCCTGCCTCTGCCGTTGCCTCAGCTCGTCTCTATCGCTGTTTATTACGATCTCCCTTGCACGTGCTACCACAGCTTCGCCACGCTGGGGGGTTGAGGGGGGCCCGCCTGGGGTCGGCTGCCAGAGCTCGACTGTCGCAGCTTTCCAGGAAGGCGCCCGCCCTCTCGGATCTGGTCCAGTAAGCCTCCAGCTCGGTGTGGCGGGGAGCGGGGGCAAACATTGACTTTAATTTTTGCTCGCCTTTGCAATCTCACCGAAATACCCCGGGATGCCCGGACACTTTAATGCAAGAGTAGCTCTCTCTATTGCGTGGTGGTATTCGTCCTCGCGCGGGAAAGCCTCCTTGAGGGGCGCGGAGTTCTCTTGCCCCTGGACGGGCGGCGTTCTTCGCGTTCGTGCTCTTGTCCGCCCTTCTTTCTTGGCAGTGGTTCTCCACTTCATTCCTTTTGACCAACCCCGCCCCGCCCCGCCCTCGCGGAAGGGGAAGACGCGGGAGGCGGAGGAGGTGGAGGAGGGAGAGGTGGAGGGGGGAGGAGGTTGAGGAGGAATTCGGAAGATGATGATGATGATGATGATGATGATGATGATGATGATGATGATGATGATGATGATGATGATGATGATGATGATGATGATGATGATGATGATGATGATGATGATGATGATGATGATGATGATGATGATGATGATGCTGATGATGATGATGATGATGATGATGATGGTGGTGATGATGATGATGATGATGATCATGATGATGATGCTGATGATGATGATGATGATGAGGAGGAGGAGGAGGAGGGGGAATTGGGAGAAGGATGCGGGAGGGGGTACATGGTGGTGATCATGATAACCACTGTGGTGATGATGGTAGTGATAACGGTTGTGATGATGGTGTTGATGATGACAGTGATAATGACGATTATGTTGATGAAGGTGATGTTGATTGTGATGTTGATGTTGTTGATGATGTTGATGATGATGTTGTTGATGATGATGAGGTTGGTAAGGTTGTTGAGGAATATGATGTTGATGATGATTATGCTGATGATTATGATCAGGATGATGATGATGATGATGGCATGGAGATGATGATGATGATGATGATGATGATGATGATGATGATGATGATGATGATGATGATGTTGGTGGTGGTGGATGGTGGTTGTGGTGGTTGTGGTGACATGATGATGGTCATGATGATGAGGATGATTATGGTGATGATGACCTTGATGATGATGACGACGTCGATGATGACGATGACGAGAAGTGGAGGAAGACTTAGGAAGACTTAGGAGGACGAGGAGGAGGAGGAGGAGGAGGAGGAGGAGGAGGAGGAGGAGGAGGGGGGTCGGCGATGGAGGAGGACGTGGAGGCGGAGAGAGGAGGAGGAGGAGGAGGAGGAGGAGGAGGAGGAGGAGGAGGAGGAGGAGGAGGGCTTAGGAGGTGGACCAAGGGGGAGGAGGAGCAGGAGGAGGAGCAGGCTGAGCAGGATGAATCCGGATGCGGGCTTAGGAAGACGATGAGGAAGTGGAGGAGGAGGAGGAGGAGGAAGACTCATGAGGACGACTTTGGATGACGCGGAGGAGGACGAGGACTTACGAGGACGATGACGGAGGAGGGTGAGGACTTGGGTGCAGGAGGAGGAGGAGGAGGAGGAGGAGGACCAGTGCAAATGGAAGAGTCATCAACGATGTTGGAATCTGGAATCAACCCTCCCTCCAGGTTCCCTCTTCATGAGCTCCTGCAAGGGTTCAGCTCCACCTGCGGAAGTGCCCCGCTGGGAGAGAATCGTTTGAAGACCCCGAAACATGCCAAAACACTTACCGGGACTCCACCGCCACCAATCAACCTGACTGTTGCGGTTTGGCGATCCTGAATCGTGCCAGAGCGCCTTTCCTAGGACTTCACCACCGCGAATCAACGTAACTGTTGGCCTTAACAAGCCTGAATCCTTCCAACACGCTGTTTCTGGTACGTTAACTATGGAAACCCGTGAAACTTTGACAATTTTCTTAAACGAATGTACGCGACGCTAAGGCGAGAGCCACATTTTGAAAACGTTCCACGCTAAGCCGTGAAGCCCATGCAGTTTGCGTTAAGCGAATATGCGCGGCGCTAAGGCGAGAACCACATTTTGAAAACGGCCCGCCCTCAATCCGTGAAGCTCTTGCAGTGTTTTTTTGTTACAAAAAAAATGCACGCAGCGCTAAGGCGAGAGCCATCATTTGAAAACCACTCGAGCCGTGAAGCCCATGCAGTTTGCGTTAAGCGAATATGCGCGTAGCCAAGGCGAGAACCACATGTTGAAAACGGCCCGCCCTCAGTCCGTGAAGCTCTTGCAGTGTTTTTTTTTGAGATGCACGCAGCGCTAAGGCGAGAGCCATCATTTGAAAACCACTCGCCCCCAATCCGTTCAATTCTTGCACATGTTTAGGACGGATGCGTGCGGTGCTAAGGGGAGAGCCACATGTTGAAAAACAGCCTGCCCTCATGCCGTGAAGCTCTTGCAAGTGTGTTTAATCGAAGTTGCGCGGCGCTAAGGCGAGAACCACATGCTGAAAAGGACCCGCCTTCTATCCTTGAAATTCTTGCAGGTTTTGTCGAACGAATGTGTGCGGCGCGAAGGTGAGAGCCACCATTTGAAACCCACCCGCCTTCCATGTGTGGAGCTGTTGTCAACTCCTAAACTTCAGGATCATATTTGGTACGGAAGTATCGGGCGAAACTCCTGGCCCGCCGTTTCGACTGGCCTCGGGGTGCGACAGAGAGGAATTGTTGATAACTACAAAGAGCAGAAGAGGAGGAGGAGGAGAAAAATTAGGAAAATGCAGGAGAAAGAGGGAGGAGGAGGGGAGGAGGGGGAGGAGGTGGCGGAGGAGGAGGAGGAGGAAGAGGAAGGAGGAAGCAGGGGGAGGAGGGGGAGGAGGGGGCGGAGGTGGCGGAGGAGGTTGTGGAGGAGGAGGAGGAGGAGGAGGAGGAGGAGGAGGAGGAGGAGGAGGAGGAGGAGGAGAGGAGGAGGGCGAGGTGACACGGAGGCGCAGGCGCACAGAGACACGGAGGCCGCGCCCGCGGGCGCACGGCGCCTTCCCGCCAGGCGCCATCCGCCCCGGACCGCCCCGCGCCGCAGAGCCCGGCGTCGGCGCGCCCCGCCAGCGCGCAGGCCAGCGGCCGAGCGGCCCGTCGGCGGCGCCGCCGCCGCCCTCAGCCACGGGGGGGCGACCACTTTCGAAGAAGAAAAAGCCATCCATACATGAACTGTTGGCGCTCCGCGCGGATGTCTTGGATGCGCGCTGGGCCCCCCCCCGGCGGCGCCTCCGGGGCCGCCCTTGGCGCGCTCCGCGCGCCAGGGAGGGGGGCCCAGCGGTTTGTGCTTCTGGCGTTTTAAAAATCATTTTTCTTCTTCTGCACTTTGGCCTCCCGAACTCGGGCTCCACATCCAGCCGCATCGCCGACGCATCGGAGATGCGTCGCGCAGTCCTCCGACCCTATGTGCTCGGACCCCATCTGGGAGGCCTAGGCGAGAGCCCCCCCCCGCCCCCCCTCAGCAGCAGCCCCGCGTGGCTCACGAGGGGGTCGGATAGCCGCGCTGAGCGTGCGGAGCCCACGTGGCCTGGATCGCTTACCCCCTTCAGCCCTGGCGCCTGTGTGAGTCAGGTTCGGGCACTCCTAGCCCATGCGATCATCCACTCCAACCCCCCTGTCCCCTTAGCAGCCCCAACGGCCATCTCAGCTGATATCCTGAAATCCTCTCGTTGTGTGCGACGAAGTCAACTCACCGCGGATGCTTTTGGCTCATTTTGTCTGCCTCCGCGGGGGCCCTCGCTGGGGCCCAGGACCGTCAACAAAACGATTCGGGATGCGAAACCGGCCTGGGGGGAGGGGTCCAGACCTCCTGGAGTCCGCGCCGTGAGCAAGCAATGACGGCGTTTGTCTGGGTCGCCGCGTCGTCCCAGATCTGCGACGAGGTGTTTTCTTCTATCGCGGAGTTTTCCCCTCGCTTCGGCCTCCAGGAGCCCCTTGCGGGCACTTGGGCCATCCTAAGCGAATATGGGGCTCAGAGCTACTTGTGGGGAGGGGTGGGCCGCGGATTGAACGAAACATGTCGGAGTCGTCGCCGTCGCCATCGCCGTCGTCGCCGCCGACGTCGTCGTCCAGGATTTCGGGAATTGTCGGACCTGCTCCCCGAGATCTTCCAGGCTCCTGGCGCCTTTCAACAGCTGCGCGTCGCGGAGAGGGTGTTCCCCGGGTCCCCGAGTCGTCCCGAACGGCCGCCCGAGGATCCGGGTAATGGCCCGAACGCCGGACGACGAGGATGCAGCGCCCTCAGATCCAGGCGATTGCAGACAAACGTTGCGACGGCCAGTGCATGGGCGCCTGCGGCCTCGACGAGGCCGCGTCTCTTGTCCTGATCCTTCTGACAACTACCATCCTATTCTGGTCGCGGCCGACGGGGTCGGTCGCTACCGATGTTGCTTCAGATTCCGGCATCGGTCGCGACCGATTTGCTTCAAATCCGCAAGCGACCGATTGGTCGCGATCGGTCGCGATCGGTGGTTTCGGAATCGGCCTCTGTCTGTCGCGACTCGGCTTGGAGGAGTTCTGGCCGGTCGCTACCGATCGCGGCCAACACTATATGGTATCCAATGACCTGGTGGGGGCAGGGATCGAGATCCCAGGGGGGCCCGGGTCACAAAAAAACTTGTGGCGGCGGAGGGATGTCGGCGTCGTTGTCGTCCTCCGCCCTTCCTCCAATTTCCTCTCGTTCCACCCCCCATCATATGCAGCCTCTTGCCAGTCTCTCTACTCTCTGGGGGGAGGAGGGGGGGGAGGTTGGGGCGGAGCTTCTACGTAGTGACATCAATCAGGTCCCTTGCGGAGGGGTGCGCCCACGGGAGGCAGCCGCTCCCGCCCGCGAGGCGCAGGTTGCTCAGCACCGAAGCGGGGTCTCGCGCCGAGAGGGGCAGCTTTGCCCCCCCGCAAGAGGGAGGGGCGCGCCCCAGGCAGCCTCACGAGCCGTAGTGTTCAGGGCATACATCCATGCATTCCCAGATCCCAATCTACTTCTAGTGCCTTCCTACTTCAAGATCTGGCATGCGTTGAAGTGTTTTGCTGTTCTCTGGGATGGCCGGGGCCCACTCAACTTTATCTTAATGTCTTTATCTACTTCTTCGACCGACGTGTGCCTTTCCCATGGGGTCGGCAAGCACGAATAGATTTGACCAGCAGACCCTAATGGTTCTCATCGTTTCGGCGGCGAGCCGGGGGGAAGTGACAATGGGCAGGCCTTTTCAGAAGGCTCGGAAGTCCCCCGGCCTTCCGAGAAGTTTCCTAAGCTTTCCCCGAAGACGCAGACATCTTCTCAGAAGGCGCGAGGGCATCTGAGAAGTCCCGCCGCCTTCTGAGAAGGCCTTCTCCTTTTCACTTCCCACCCGCTCGCGCTGCAGATCCTTATCCTTGTCCTGAGCCATGGAGCAAAGACCCCGACCTTTCACAAGCAAGGCCTTTGCTGCAGGGCTACGGCAGCAGTTCAGGCACCGCCCTGCCCCGTAAGAGCTCATCAGGTAATTCGGACGAGGCGCCGGACCTCTTTCCCTCTCTTCTCAGCCGCGTGCCGCTCCTCTTCCTTGCCCTCATCCCCGCCGTCATGATTCTTCCCAAGCCTCCAGCGTTGATTTCTCGTTTTGAATCGAGCGCTGCGCGCGCGTCTCCTCTTCCCGCCTCACGCCTCCCGTCTCCTCTCCCTCCTGCTTGCCTGCTACCCTGCCCCCCGCCTCACCTCGCCGTCCTGCCCGAGGGCTCCCTTGGGGACTGCGATTTGCGAAGCTGTCGCCGTTTGCGAGGACTGCTGGAGGGTCCAGGTCCCGCGCGGACCTAAATTCGACCTCGCCATCCTCGGGGGGCTGCGGTCTGCCAGACTGTCGCCAATTTCGGTGGCGCCTGGTGGGTCCAGCGGGGTGACGTCCCACGCGGATCGAATTTACACCTCACCATCCGTGGGGGTCTGCATTTGCAATATTGTCGCCATTGTCGAGAGCTGCCGGGGGGGTTACAGCGGAGTGATGTCACGTCACACGCGGATCTACACTAGACCTCGCTTTTCCCTGGGGGGCTGCGATCTGCGAAACCGTCGCCACTATCGAGGGCTGCTAGGGGGTCCACTGGAGCGCCGTGCCACGCGGATCTAAATTAGACCCCTCCATGCCCGGGGGGGTGCGATCTGCAAAGCTGTCTCCACTTTCGAGGGCTAGGGGGTCAGCGGAGCGCCGTCCCACGCGGACTTCAATTGGACCTTGCAATTCCTGGGAGGCTGCCTGCGGTTTGCCAAACTGTCGCCACTTTCGATGGCGGCTGGTGGGTCCAGCGAGGTGACGTCCCATGTAGACCTACATTTGACCTCGCCATCCCTGAGGGGCTGCGATCTGCGAAACCGTCGCCACTTTCGAGGGCTGCTGGGGGGTCCAGGGGAGTGACGTCACGCGCGGACCTGAATTTTACCTCGCCATCCGTGCGGGCGCGAGATCTGCGAACATGCAGGCACTTTCGAGGGCTGCTAGGGGGGCCAGCGGAGCGCCGTCCCACGCGGACCTAAGCCAGACCTCGCCATCCTCGGGGGGGGGCGATCTGCAAGGCTGTCGTCACTTTCGTGGGCTGTTGGGGTGTCCATCGAAGTGACGTCATACGCGGACGTACGTTGGACCTCGCTATCCTTGGGGAGCTGCGATTTGAGAAACCGCCGCCACTTTCGAGGGCTTCTGGGGGGGGTCAAGCGGAGTGACGCCCGCTGCTCGTCCAGCGTGCCGCTGGGAAAGGGCGGCCACCCTCGTCCCTCATCCTACTTTTAAGTCGGGCCTGTCCCCCTACAGGGGGATTTTCGACGAAAAATAATAAAAACAAACACAAAACATCAAACATATTCCAAACATAGAATGGGGAATATTTTTTTCCCGTCGAAAATCCCCCTGTAGGGGGACACGCCCGACATAATCCTACCTCTTTTGGTGCCGTCGTCTTCCTGCTTCGCCGTCTCACTGCTGCCGTCGCCTCAACTTTTCGGCCCCTCGTCCGTCCTTGTCCCCCCCTCCCCGTTCCCACCCCATGTCCCGTTCGAGCCTGGGACCTCAGTCCTCGTCATGTTCTGCTGTCCTGTGAGTCGCACAGCGCGCGCGCTACCCGTATAGCTTGCACAACCAATGGCAGACCCTGCTTTGCCATTTGTGAAACTACAGTCTCATGAACCAGCTCCTCTTGCCATTTCGTGCAGACGGGTTTGGCACGTCGCAAGGTACGTGGTTGATCTCGTGGTTCCGACGCATGTCGTTGTTTTCCATGCGTGCCAGATCACTGGCGCCATGGCCTCGCCCACCCAGTGTCGGTTAGGCCTAGACGATCATCCGCAGAGGTCAACGTTCGTTCGTTCGCTCGTCCATCGTCTTGCCCCTGATCCGACGCTTCGTGGTCTGGCCGGGGGGGCGCCCCCCCTCGCCCACGGGGCGTTCGCGTGCCCAGGTCGGTCGAGAGGTTGTCATGTCTTCCACGGCGGAATCCCTGGTGGCTGCGATCTGCGAAACTGTCGCCCTTTTCGATGGCTGCTGGAGGGTCCAGCGGAGTGACGCCATACTAAGTCTAAATTAAACGTCGCCATCCGACGGGGGCTGCGATCTTCGAAACCGTCGCCACTGTCGAGGGCTGCTGGGGTTCTGGCAGAGCGACGTCCCACGCAGATTCAGATTCGACCTCGCCATCCTTGGGGGGCTGGATTTGCGAAACTGTCGCCACTGTCGAGGGCTGCTGGGGAGGACCAGCGGAGTGACACGCTACGGAGATCCAGATTAGCCCTCGCCATCCCTGGTGGGGTGGCTGCGAACTGCACAATTGTCGCCACTGTCGAGGGCTGGTGATGGGTCCAACAGAGTAGCGATTTACTGATACTCAGCGCCTCGACTTCTTGTGGCGCCCCCGCCAGTCCCCAGCTCCTCTCCGCGGTGGGCGAGGGTCTTGTGAGCCGCATAAAGGGCAGGCATCCCATTTAGTTTGCAACAAGACGGCTCTCACGCTGTCATCATCCATAACAATGTGGGTGAACTCATCTGGTCAGTTGATGCAAGTGGGCAGGGCATGCCACAAGGAAATGTTGAAGGGAAAGTCTTTGGGGCTTATATT